TCTCTTCATCCCAAATTTTCACGGACACATTTAAGGTGCTAATTTTCAACCAAAATATTTGTGTTATATCAGATTACATAATAAGTGAAAATAAATAAATATGATTAATTATTATATCGTTATCATATATTTAAATGTACTTATTGTAAGGAAGTGATTAAATGCTTTTGTGGCTGTTTAAATAAAATTAGCACTACAGTGTCAAATCTCAGATTAAGCAAAGAAATTAAGACAATATCATCATTTTAGGTTGGCGGGCCGTGTCCCCTCCGCCGACGGTGATGCAAACCTGTTGTAACACTGTGTGAAACCAAAAAGGCCAGACACATCTAAATAATTTATAAATGATACATCTTGTTAGCCTTGACTCCCAGGTTTGGTTGTCTTCTCCTGCACCAAATGATCAATGTCCTCCCATTATCCTCATGCACTCTTTTCACTTCCATTCCCAATTCTCCCCGCCTCTCCCCAGGTCTTTCATGTTGCCCTCTGGGAGCCAAACAAAACATGGTTTTCTACTGCAAATAAGGAGCTAAAACACCATGTGATCAGTCATGAATTATTTGAACACTATTGATTCGTATAAATTGTTGCATTCCCTGGAGTATTTGAGCAAGAACAACAGTTTCTTTGCTGGGTCTTGAGGAAAATGCTCCTTTTTTCAGGCGTAAATAAAAGGAAATGATTATGGGGAGTAATTATTGAGTAGATTTAACCCCACTATCACACTGGAGCTTGTTATGGAGAGAGAAAGGAGGAGGAAAAAAAGCAGAAGGTGTTTGATTTTCTCAAGCATTGTCAGTGGATTACTGCATTTTCTCGGCAAAATCTCACTCCTTTTAATGGTATAATTTCAGTTTTCATGCCTTGTTCCACACTTTAACAAGAGGCCCCGGTGCCCTGTGGGTAGACAGCAGTTGGAAAAAAAACAAAGAAGAAAAATAACAATCCAAAAAGGAGAACTAACATATTCCCAAAACATCTTATTTGAGCAGGAGCTAATGTTTAGCACATTCTTCTATTTTTTTCATTGTTTTTTTTTTTTTTTTTGCCCCGAAAGCTTCATTTAGATTGCAGACGAGGCTTTTGAAAACACAGATCTGCCAGGAGTCTCTGTGGACCGCTGGAGCCCTGGAAGAGGACCTAAATGAAGGCACCAGACAATGTAACAAACCACGAGGTCCCTGCACCCCACAGACAAGCCAGAGGACTCTAATAAACAAACACACTCTCACACTGTCATTAACGTGGCTGTAGGTCATAATGCTCCTCTGCCTTACAAAAAGAACGAGAGTTCCATTTTTTTCCCGCACCAGGGGAAAGATCCAATTTTCTGCTCCACATGTGTGCAGCATCCCCTCACTCAGTGCTGAATCAGATTCAAGTGTATATCACTTTATTGCATTTTCTTTTACACTGCTGCTCCATTCTCCCTATAGAATGAAATGATGATATTTGAAGATATGCTGCTTCTCTTAAAGGAGCTTCACAGGCAGGAGAAATTACAGAAGAATTGGAGGTGCAGCAGTCACCTTTCAAGGTAAAAAAAGAAAGAAAAAAAATATATAAGTCACTTTCTTTTCTGTCTTTGCAGAAACTTTAAGATTTAGCCTATATACTTTCTTTTCTGTCTTTGCAGAGTCTTTGCAGAAACTTTAAGATTTAGCCAATCAGACGCTGCGTCTCATATGTCGTGATTTTCCTGTGAAATACAGACAATTCCTGAATGTTTCTCAACATTTTACACACGACTTAAAAGCTTCCCTCACGGTTCCAGGGAATTCTTGGAAATCTTCCAGAAGCTGAGACCTGCATTTAGGATCATCCATCCCTCACATGAGGGATTAGTCTGGCAGAGAGGGAACAGGTTGACGCACACTGAGTTACGTGTTGGAGTGAGGAACTTTCTCTGCCTCGTCGTCTGTGGATCTTTCCACTCATTTTTAAATTCTTATCAACAAGCGCTGCTGCAGCTCACTGCTAATATTTAACATTTCGTAAAAATCTCTAAAGGCAACACATACACACACACACACACACACACACATACACACATACTACAAGTCTAATTCACTCATTTCTTTGCATTGCTTACAGGACCAGTCCCCTCACTTCCACACTGTTCCTGCATCCCCCTCCCATTCACCACCCCTCCACATCCTTCCCTCGCTCTCTCGCTCTCTCTTCCCCTCTCCCTCTCTCTCTCTCCTCCTCCCTGCTCTCATGAAGCTGCAGCACAGACTCATTTAAGTCTGCTGATGTCTTGATAATGTTCCAAGGCCATCACAAGCAGGTAGAGAAGGGATTCCTCAGCTCCTCTAATCATCTGTAAATGGACGATGAGGGACATGAGTACTGTCTCGTGGACAGTAAAAGAGAAAGTGCTTGGCACCTACTATGGTACTAATACTACTGCTGCTACAGCAGCTCCGTGAGCACTACACGCATACTTCACTGGCACCTATACACAACTGATGGGATACACTAGTACACATACATACATACAGATAAATATATACAAATACATATATAAATATATACAAATAAATATACATATATGTATACGTATACCAATACACATATAAACTTGTGAACAAATAAAATATATTTAGTATATATTATATATATTTAACTTAGCATGTGAAAGTGTTATTAATAATTCTTAATACGTGATATAAAACATGAAATAAAAACATGAATGGCTGCTGAAGTTGCTGTTGTAAGTAATTTTACAAAATACATTAACAAAGTAGTAGATTTTTGTGTAACTTTAATTTTTGGGTTTATACATAAAGGATTTAATCAATATTTATATTATTATTATTTTAAAAAAATTAACAACAACAATATAATAATAATAATAATAATAATAATAATAATAATAATAATAATAATTTGGCTTTTTTCAGGGCACAGTTCCACGCTGTTTTACGCCGCCAGGTTGCTCCACTCTGGATAAGACAACATCCACGAGCCGTGTAATAAACAAACCTGTCAATAATTAAAAATAAATAAATAAATACCACGCTACGCTTTGCGCTGGTGCAGCAGTAGTGACGGGCGGGGTGGTAGTGACAGTGTTCGTGGGGAATGAGCGCAAAGAGTGAGAATATGACGTGGTGCCCTTTAAGAGTGTTTTTGGGCCATTAAAAGTGTAACGACAGACACACAACTTCAGCAGCTGCAGCGGCGGCAGCGGCGTCCGTGCGTAAACAGCATCCCTGCTGGATTCCGTCTGATGTTCCTCCAGGCTGCTGCTGATTGGACACCAAAAGATTCAAGAGCAAGCGTTTACAGGCGTGAACATCACAACCAATGGAGACGATGAAGCAGAAAGATGCCATTTTTAAAAAACTACCACACTTGATTAAATGTTAGAATTAAAATCTAAAGATGCACGATGTGTTACGTTTTAAATCTATTCTCTGCGTGAAAGACGGATTCATTTTTCTACTCTTCATCTTATCTAAATTTTCTTCCTTCAAATTCTCAAAAACGTCAGGTCTTATAATTAAATAAATGGAAATAAATATATTTGTTTCATGTGATTGCTTTGTTTTATATATATATATTTTACTTTTTGTGTGTTTTTAAATATATGCAAAATCGTACAACATTTTAACGCATTAAAATAAATAGTTATAAACCGGATATTTTGTGTCAAAGTTCAGAGGATCGTGTGCGAGCCAGACAAACGCTATAATTTTATTTTATGTCAAAGACTGTTGGATTTGAGGATTATTTCGTTACACACATATAAGCTCCCTTTTGTAAAAGGAAAAAAATCCACTTTTATTATGGGGTGCCATGGAGGCACACGACATGGGAGCGCAGATTTGCGTCTTAAAGAGGATTTAGGTCTATTAACGACAAAAGGCGCAGTTCGTGGCACAGGGGAGAGACCTCGACGTGTGCGTCAGCCGCGGTGATGTGAAGCCGGGCGCACTGATAAATGGAGAGACATCAAACCCAGTCATTATGGTGCTGAGATATGAGACTTTCAGAGTGGCGGCGGCCCGCTCTGGGCGGCGAACCCAGGGGATCTCTCTCCTCCTTCTCCTCCTTTTCTCCTTCTTCTCCTTCTCCTTCCCCGGGCCTTTTGTGTTTGTGTGCTGGACTGATGAGCGTCTTTGGATAACGCACAGCCATTATGTTACCAGGCTGTGCACTTATTCCCATGAAAATGCTGTAAATAGAGGGAGTACATGCCCCCCCCCCCCCCCCCACCCTCTCCACTGCTGATACACGTATTGATTGCAGCTCATATTTGTAACCGTAAACCACAGAGGATCACATGTGAATACTCTGAAGGGAGTCGATTTTTTAAAATAACAGCCAAATATTAATTACAGTGATGTTAATTAAAAATGTATTGCTTTGGAGTGTTTGCCATTTTTCATTATATATATTTTTTAATTTGTACAGAAAGTTTCCTTTATTCTCAGAGGTAAATATATATAAATATAAATAAAAGTTTCTTGCTAGAATTTGTTTTATTTTTTCCCCAGCTAATACATATTTGATTTTTATTTTGATTATTAAAAATATAAAAGTATTATCATCGTATTTGGATTGTTACAGAATAAACGCCCCAAGTCTGAAAATATCTGGATTATTCTGCACAGATTAGCCGTTAAATCAATTTAAGAAACAATAAAGTTTACGTCCACAGGGCGACCTCACAGAAACGTGCCTCTCCTGATCGTGTTAATTAATTTTTCTCAGAATAAATCAGTCATGGAGGCGGCAGCAGCAGCAGCCTCCACACACGAACACACGCACACACGCACGGGCTGAGCCACCGGTGGGCATTTTTAATGACCCCGTAATTCAATTAACCGCCTCCATCAGCTCCATCATTGATTTGTGGAAGAAGGGGGAGAGGGAGAGGTGGAGGGGAGGTGGGGTGGGGGGGGGACGCTGGTGAAAGTTGAATTCTGCAAAGTCGAAGCGGCCTGTAATTGCTCAAGACACAGATCGGAGAGAAGATGGGGGGTAGTAGTAGTGGTGGTGGTGGTGATGGGGGGGGGGGCCGGGCTGAGGTGGCCATGTATAAATAGTGTGCACTCAAATACACAGTCACAACAGCAGGAGTGATCTCACCTCCCTTCTTCTCCACCCCTCCTATCTGCTGCTGCTGCTGCTGCTGCACAGCCATCCAAACCAGACCAGAGCGGAGCAGAGCGCACACCCGGAGTGTGCATCAGCACAGACGGTAACGTTCACGGTGGATTTTCCTCCTCCTCCTCCTTCTCCTCTTCTTCCTCTCCCCCCTCCACCACAAAGGCTGGACCACTACTACCGCTGCTGCTGAGCCGCCGAGCCCGACAACATGGAAGAACTGACGGCATTCGTGTCGAAATCTTTCGATTCCAAAACCAAGGAGAGCAACAAGGAGGCGATCACGTACAGGGAAGTTTTGGAGAGCGGCTTGACGAGGGCGCGGGAGCTGGGCAGCCCAGAGACAAACCTGCAGGACATAACGGAGAGCAACCACTGCCCGGTGCATCTGTTCAAGGACCACGTCGAGCTGGAAAAGGAGAAACTCAAGGACTTTAATGTTTCCAGGGCGACAGACGGTAAGAAGGGACTTTTCACGGTTTCTTTCTAAATGTAGTGGTTCATGTTTTCTCACAATGTCTCAAGTTCACTTGTTTGTCTCCTCTGTGCCCCAGTCCACGCGTAAAATGGGGACGTTTTACGACAATGTTGAAAGAATAGTTTTAACGCAGCATTATGTTGTTATAAATGACTATTTTATAAAATCAGAAGGCGGGCCTAGACTGTGGCCGTGAGGCTTTAACTGTTTCATGGTTGTTTTCAGTCACTCAGCCTTCACTTAAAAGAAAATAAATATAACAATATATATGTTTGTCCTAAATTAATCATAATAGTAAACTTTTTTACAAATATGTTCTGAAAATATTTGTATATATAAATATTTTTTACTTTACTGCCAGACGGTAAAAGAGACATAATTAAAAAATGATATTCTATCAAACGATATAAATTATCTAAGTATTACTAAAATAAAATAAATTAGCAATATAAGAACGACAAAAACAAATTGTGTCGTTGGTAACAATATTTAAAATATGTGTTATATTCGTGTACTGTGACCAAAGAAATTAGGAAAGGCTTCAGAATAATACATTTATATACACATTGTTTGTTTATTTATATTAAATAGAAATAAATCTAATTATGTTTTCATCATCTTATAATTGAACATGTTAAAAAGGTAGTCCTTTTTAACATACTTGTTTTAGCATAACGAAAAGTAGACTGCAGTGTGTACACGGTTTTATTCTAGAAATTAAAAAAATAAATTTGAATAATTTCTGAGGGCTGTTTATAACTTTTTATCCTATATTGTTTTCATACGTTACAATAAACATGATCTTGTGTTGTGTTGTGTTTCCTTTATATATATATATATATAAAGGAAACACACACACACACACACACATATATATAATTTTAGGTGAAAAATACCTTTTTAGTTAACAGAGTGCCACCAATAGAACTGCGACTAAAATGTGCGTCATTGCAGCATTAATATCCACGACAGATTGATGTTATCACTATTTTATAGTGACAACCGGTTGGACTTTTAAAGTATATCTAGATTTATAAAGATAAGTTGAAAAACCTCGGGAGAAAAAAAATATGACATACATTGAATTATTTACCATTTAAATGTATGTCATTTTAGCTCGTACTTTACTGTGGATTTTTTATTTAATCGTATGAGGTTCACATGGTCTGGACACAGGGTTTTGCGGCAGCGCTGACACAACACTCAGAGTTATGGAGGCTGGAAAGGTGGAAATGTTGATGTTGAAGAATTATTTGTATTTGTGTCTGTGTGTGAGTGTGTGTGTTGGGCCTAAGGCCCCTGTAAGTTACTGGCCCCACGCAACAGTAGGAGGGAATAAGCGTAAACGCGTCCTTTCCAGCGTGTGCGTAATTACGCGTGTCATCCGACTGAACACTAGTTAAATGTCCAGAGTCTTAACGCCGTCTTCTCTTCCCGCCTCTCCCCAAACATGGACGGTTTAACAGGGATATACGAGTGTAAGGAGAAGAAGGAGGACGTGAAGTCGGAGGACGAGGACGCACAGGGCAAACTGAAGCAGCGGAGGAGTCGCACTAACTTCACCCTGGAGCAGCTCAACGAGCTGGAGCGGCTCTTCGACGAGACGCACTATCCGGACGCGTTCATGAGAGAGGAGCTGAGTCAGAGGCTGGGACTGTCCGAGGCCAGAGTGCAGGTAGGAACGTTCTCCCATGGTTCTCTGTTACGGTGGTTCTATGATGCCTTGGAGTCAGTGGCAGCTTTGGTGGAGCCACGGATGTATATAACTGGTGCACAGGCACCTGTCAGTTTACTCCCTGGGCAAAATACACATTATATTTATTTATTCAATTAATTTGGTTTTCCAATTTTATATTTACGCTTAAAAAAACCCACATATTTGCAGACGATAAGGATGATACATAGTATCCATAAACAACAAAGACGTTTGTTTTACTAATATTAAATATATATTATAATATAATATTATGGCCCCGAAAACTACACTGTGAAGTACTTCTTTGGTTATATATATATATTATATTTATTTTTTTATTAATTTACAATACAAAAGTAAAATAAAACAAATGAACACAGTTTAAAATAAGAAAAAATTTAGAATTAAATGCTCCACAAATTAGAGATATAAATAAACCTTATTACCTGTACTCCTTAAAGCTCTTCCATCTAATACCTTTATTTGACCAATTTTTTAATCATTATTATATTTTAAATAATTTCATTTTCACAAATTGACAACGTGTAAAAAGCTTTTATGCATTTGTCTTTTGTGTTTATTGGCCTTCACCATAGAACCCTTTTATAAAGCCAACATTTTTAAGAGCTCATTAGTCATCCAAAGGTTGACCATAAAACTGCAGACATCTGATTACGTCTTTGCTGCTGCGAAACAGTCTAAAATATGTCTGGATCTAGTCTCCGGGTGTTTATTTTCAAAAATCTCTGGTCCTTTAAGTTTATTTCTGTTTATTTCTGTTTGTTTTTTTAAATCGCAGGAATGTGATCAAGTCAAAATCAGGTTGAATACGATTGGTTTTAAATCAGGTTTTAGAACATTTATACCAGTTTAAAACAAAACCTTAAAACAGGTGAATCTGTGCGTTCATATAGCAGCAGGCCTGCAGCCTATACACCTATACATCCCAATATCATTGTAGGGGAGAGTGGGTGAGTGTGGGGGAGTCAAAAAAAAAAATCCAACCAGTGATTAAAATGAATGAAGAGCCTGAATGGCTGCTCCGGGGGACGCGCTCTTATGTCAACTCGTATCCCTCCTCATTTTCTTTGTAATATCCTGCCATAGGCTTGATGTAGTGTCCCCATAAAAACACATTAGAAATAACTCAATTCTAGCCCAACTCTGCTGCTGTTCACTATCTAATCGGATGAATAAAAGCCACCGCAGAGCTTTATAAGCTCCATCCACTCCCATTCCCAGTCAAAGACTGCTGCTTGACAGTGTAACACGGGGGGTATATATATATCTATTTATATATTGATATATATATATATATATATATATACAGGAGTTCCATTTATCACTAATAAAGTGCAGTGGATTAGGAATCATTTATGGTGTAAATATACTTGATGCATATTCCCTGCTGTGCGTAAACGCCACATAAGACGTCAAGGGGGAGGAGGAGGAACACAAATACACACACACACACTACATCTTGACTTTTTTTTTTACACACTGGTCCGTGACGCACTATCCACACGTTTTTGTTGCAGTCTGCGGGCTGTGAAGGCTGCGCTCCGAGCAGCTGTCAATGAATCTAATTGAAAGTTATGAGAGCTTGGTGAGGAGCAGGCAGTAATTCGGTTAGGACTAATATCTTTGGGTTTCTGGCGCGCTGCTAAATTAAATGTCATTATTCACTGTCTCTAATAAAAAATCAAAAAGGAAATGAGATTAGGGCGTTTGTGAAGCGCATCATTGAGTGGCCCTTAATGAAGAAATAACTGTCTGAACCAGTGTAGTTCACTTTGCTTAACATACTGCCGCGTAATTGGAATTGATCCCGGGCTAAGTCGTCTATAATATTAGCCCTGATTTATCTGAGGGGTTGTTGTGTGTCTGTATATGCAAAGAAAAAAAACAGAAAAACAAAACCAAGCAAAAACAAATCACCTGCTATTTTCATAAACACCCTTCATAACGTGGTTTACTGCAGTAACAGTTCATAAAACAGCGCGCAGACACTAATGGACGGCCCGAGTGTGAAGTGATAGTAATATTAACAATAATAATAACTATGACGACAACAACAATAATAATAGCATATTACTGTTATTATATTAATCGTAACACCATATTCTATATAACAATATATTTAAATATATATATTCATACACGTGTATATAAATGTAAATATATACATATATTTAGCAGGGCTATGTATATGAATATACATATATACTGCATATGATATGTTTAAATACTTCTGATTAATTTACTCAATTATGCAAAGAAAAATCAGTTTTGATTAAATGTAATTGAAAAAGACAACTATTTATTTCGGAATCTCAGGAATTTGTCGATTATTTTTTATTTTTGTGCCACTTCTTTGTCTGACTAATGGGCGTTTTATTGACCGCGTTTCCTGCTGCTTCTGTGGCTGCTCGGGTCTCATCGACACCGTGTTAAACGCGTTGTAAAATGGCTCCACGGCACCTTTGAGTCCTCCTCCTCCCTCACCTCCTCCTCCTTCTCATCCTAAATACAATCAGCCTTTTGCGCCCTTTGCGGTGCGCTAATTCCTGCATCTGTAACTGATAATCATTGCGGAGGTCGAAGGGGAGGAGAGATAATGTTATTCACCGAGGCAAATTAGGTTGATGATGATTAACAATAGGCCCAGCAGCAGCATCACAGAATCTCTGCAAAACTGGGAACTGCTTAAGGATGCATGCGTTTCTGGAAGCACGTGTGCACTTTTACAATTAAGCTTTTTTTTTTTTAAATACATATATCTGCAGAACTTACTAGTAATTTAGTGTTTATTACTCTACAATATTATGTTCTCAAAATGAACCCAGGTTGATTAATTGTGTTAAAAATATCCTTTCAATTTCTATCCAACTTGTACAAATCTTACCAGAGCCTCGTAAACACTTATTTACTTTTTATTACTAGGATTTTGTTATGTTTCCATTTACCTGCCTGGACACAAATTATTTCAGTCTTAGTTTATTTTATTGCTTACAAATAACAGAATTCTACACAAAGTTGTATCATTAAAATAATACTCTATATTAGAGCAGAAAAACATGAGAGATGATTTTATTTTTGCACATTTTCTACAGAAAGTGAAAGAGTTTTCTTTTTTTCCTTCACAGGTCTGGTTCCAGAACAGAAGAGCAAAGTGTCGAAAACAGGAAAACCAAATGCACAAAGGTAGATTTCACATTTTCTGACCTTAAGAATGACTAATTTCTATTCTATTTTTCTTAATTTTGACAATATTATTATTCTTATTAATTACTGTACTGCATGTGGAAAATCCTTTGACCTCCTCATCTCACATAACAACAACTGTCTGGCTGCCTGACAGACATCTTTCCGTTCACTCCAGGTGTTATTCTGGGCAGTGGCAGTCACCTGGATGCATGCAGAGTTGCACCCTATGTCAACATGGGTGCCCTGAGGATGCCCTTCCAACAGGTAGGCACTGTTCGCTCACATTATAGCAGCAGCTGACAAAAGCTCAGAATAAAAATGTGGAAACGCTCACACACCGTTACATACGTATGTAGAGATGAGGTTATTTTAAAGGTGAAAAAAAAAGTTAAACACATGCAGTCAAAAGACAAAGGTGATTACTCAGCATCCTGAGAGGCACGGAGGTGACGACTGAGTAACCTGTAATGCATGGGCGTGTGTGTGTGTGTTTCTCTTGGTGTAAAAGTAGGCCTTCTATATTCGTACACGCACATGAATCTAGGCCATGTACAACTATTAGACACAAGTGATGAGAGAGCCTCTATGTGTCTGTATGTTGAAGTGGAGAGGGGGGAGAAGGGAGGGTGGGCAGCTCAGACCCCGGTGTACCTTTCACCTCCTGGTCGAGTTGAGAGAATCAGGCTGCAGAGAGACAGAGGAGAGGTGGACAGACATTTGATCTGCTGCTATCTGCTGCCTGTGTGTGTGTGTGTGTGTGTGTGTGTGTGTGTGTGAGAGAGAGAGTCCCCGGCTGCTTTGTTGTCTGCTTGACCCTTGTGAAAAGCAGCAGCCTAATTAAGGCAACGGTGCGGCACATAAAAGAGATGATGAAAGTGGGGGAACGGAGTCAGCTCTTATGGATATTGGCGTTGAGCTTCAGTGGCGGGGTGGAGGCTCGCGGCCTGCATACTGAGAGAGAGAGAGAGACTTCCTGTTTTAAAGGTTGAAACAAGCAGTTGGACAGCACGTACGGACTGCACTGATTTTTCCACTGCAGCAATATGCATATGAAACAAGGGCAGGGCTTTTGATTGGGTGAAGTGATGTTTGAGGCAAAGGTATGGCCCCATACATGTGTCTTCATCCTGTACAAACCATAATACCATGACGATGAATAACCAGAGTAGAAGACCAACGACCACCAGCTCACCACCTGATTTCGTCAGCTTAGCAGACATTTCTTTTATTAAAATGAAATCAACATCTACTAATAACGTGGTTTCATGTGGGCTCCACACTGCATGGCGTGGCCCAGTTACTACTTCTGTTTGTTCCAAAATACCACCTGGCACTGAGCTAACCTGTAGAAAGTCTTAGTTACTGCAGAAGTTAGCAAAAAGACTACTACTAGTATTAGGTACAAATGGAATAAATTGCATATTGCATATGAAGAGCATAAAATAATTTATAGAATAGGAGACAATAAACAGAATTCTGGATCTGAGAGGGACAATGTCCAATTATCATGTGGGCTACAAATGTGGGGTGGATATGTGCACCCCAAATGTTTTTTGTCCTTTATCCATATATGGGCAATTCAAATTACTCAAAGAAGTCACCTATGGGTCTCAGAGACCTCAGGGAGTCTGACTGTGAGAGGACAACTGGTCGAGGGTCTTATTGATAAGAGACAGAGAGCTGGAGTTGATGGAACAGAAGTTCAACTTCAGGATTCGTTAGGATTCTCAGAATACTAAAAGCGAATGGACATGATTTATGAGAAGAAATAAAGAACGTTACATTTCAATAATATTCAGAGCCAATGAAAACTAACGCTGAGGCTTAGGTCTGCTTGTCATGTGACATAAAAAGAAACAACAGGAAGGTTTGTGTGTCACAAATGGTTTACGCAGCGCGTGTACCATTTTATAACCTGGGGAACATCCTATCTCCTTGTAAATTCCACTTTTCAGTCCATCTATGTTTTTCTACCATTAGAAAACACACATATTCTGGTTTGACTTCAAGTCTTCCACCATTGTTCTGGAATCTCTGAGACACAGCTGCAGTTTATCGCCCGGTTATTGCTAAAGAGATATGTATACGCTCAGTCAGCAGAAGTCTGTGTGGACACCGCTGCACCGCGGCTGAGCAGATATAAATCTGTGCTTGGTTTAAGGACCCGAAAAGTCACTTTTTGTATATTTGTTTAAGGAAAATATAATAGAGAGCGGAGCAGAAACTCGGTGTAAAACTTTGCATTTGTATCATTTTATTTTACTTGGAGAAGAAAGGATGAAACGTCTGCGTTTCCCCACTTCTTCCTGCGGTGTTTGAAACACATGAGAAATGGCAAAAGGCTCAGTTCTCTCCCTGAGAGGTGAACAGATGCTTAATTTTCACTTACTTCTTATAAAATAATTGCCAAGAATGTAAAAAGTGATATTCTATGCTCCTTGTGCCGTTTTTATTTTCCCCCTTCTTCAGTCAGGGATATGTCTGTATAAATATTTATAAGTCCAAATATGTGAATGTCTTTTTAGTGCAAAATTGTTTATTTATGCAATTGAATACATAATCAGAATAACAAGACTGCATATTTTTCATGGGTTTAACAGCGTACTCACTCTGAATTAAACAAATCTGTTCTGGGTCCTGGAAAGACTTTGATTCCAGATGATTAAATAGGATGTGGTGTCTGAGAGCAATGTATGATTCATTAACTTTTAGAATAGCTGACATGAAGAAAAAAAAGGCTCAGGCGGAGAGTGTAGCCTTTAACTATTTTCTTACAAAACACACTGTAAGCAACAGCTTTGAGGGGGTAAAATTTGAGGGGGGATTTAATAGTGTCAAGACTGTGAAACCTGAATCCTGCACACTTCACACACACACACACACACACACACACACACACACACACATATACCTTCTTGGCCTCCACAAATAGTGTGTATAAAAACGGGACAGAGACATCCTCAGCCCTGAGTGAGTCACCAGGAAAACTCTGGGAATTTGTTACTGGATTAAGAATGACTTGGATTGTCAGTGCAGAGGTCCGGGTCTGCTTTTATGGACCTCGATGTCAGTTTTGTAAATTACAATCACATTTAGAGAGAGAAGAAAGAGAATGGTATGTAAATTGGACAGCAGATTTATTTCCGTGATTGACAGCTGGGTCGTCCAATCGGAGCCGGGTCACCCTGCAACCATCATGAAGGACGACAACGCTGTCAATCAGACACAGTGTCCACACAGTCCCCCTCCCTCATGTTATGTTTTGTCTTTTTTCTCTCAAAATGCAATTGTAATTAGTTATAATTATAATTACATAATGACAAATGTGTTTTCATGAAAGTATTTGCTGATAATGAAAAAGGCAGGAAGCCTCATTTTAAACAGAGCTAAATATTAATTTTGTTACTTGCATTTGTTTTCTCAGAGATTTACCCAGCATTCATAGCAAGTGACTGAAATATATCTCTGTTCACCCTGACTTGATGCTGATTGATTTTATATTTTCCTCTCCTGCAGGTCCAAGCACAGCTGCAGTTGGACGGTGTCACCCACTCTCACCCTCACCTGCACCCTCACCTGACTGCTCACGCTCCCTACCTGATGTTCCCTCCTCCTCCCTTCGGACTACCAATCGCATCCCTTGCCGACTCGGCCTCTGCAGCGGCGGCAGTGGCGGCGGCCGCCAAAAGCAACAGCAAGAACTCGAGCATCGCCGACCTGCGACTCAAGGCAAGAAAACACACGGAGGCTCTGGGACTCTGACCCCCAACGGGCTGCCCCTCCGCTCGCCTGATGCCCATAATCGCCTCTCACACAAGACTGGGCCTGTGAAAAAGGGCCGTGACACTCACAGCTAAAAACTAAACTAAACAAAAACACTGAGTGAGAAAGAGAGGAACACATACAGAGAGAGAGGGGGGAGAGGCAGAGTGTGTGTGAGAGACAGAGACAAGGGGGAGATCAGTGGAGGAAGAAAATAAAGAGGAGGAGGGAGTGAGAAAATTGTCACAAAACCAGCTGCCAAAACAAACCACTTGTAGAGAACGGTAATTAAATACCAATGAAATCACCTTTTACTTTTCGCCCAACAGGCAGGACTTCTGCGGGGCCAGTGGCTCAGTCCACTCCAGGCACAGATCACATCCCAAGGACCGTACAAACACATGTGGATGTCTGTCTGAAAGCCGGGCCCAGCCGGTGCCCGTCAGACCAGAAGACGTTAGAACAGAGCAAACTGGCCGGCAGCAGCAGGGCTGAAAGCAGAGCCTTGCTGCCGCCATCTTGGCAATGCCAAAAGGTTTGAGCATGTGGGAAACAGACTCACGTTACCACATCAGCGCTGCAACGGAACAGCTCTCACCTTTAGGACAAACTGCCCTCCGACCTCCCAAAAACTCACCCCTCACTCCAACAAAAAAACAAAAACAAAAAAAAAAAATGAAGAAAACGCTTTGAACAAAAGGCCATATCTGTCCTTAACCACTGTGTTCCCTGCTGCTGCCAAGTGCATGAGCTCGAACAGAGGCCCATTCTGGGACTGGCCTCCATCCACACCTGACACAATCGCTCCACCACTGTTTTTAACACTGCCATTCAGCAAACCCACAACCTCCAACACCTCCTCCCCTCTACGTCTCTAAAGTGAAAGATCTCCATTATGGTTCGATACCCTGCTTCTTATGGACTTGTGCTTTTGCAAAAGCAACAACAACTTCTTTTTTCTCGTTGTTGCTGCGGCGGGAGAGACATTATTCTGTGTTACTGGGCATGTGTGTTACTGGCCAGATTTTTTTTTTTCCCTCCTCACAGAACACTCCGATTTTTTTCTTCTTTCTCTCTGTTCCTTGTGTTGTATTCTGGGTTTAAGAAGTGAAGATAGCCTTTGCACTTCAGGTCTTGTATGTGGGTGTTTACAAATGGCACTACAAACAGATACTACTTTACTAATGAAAAAAACACGGGAGGGTAAATTTGATATTGTCGAGCACCGAGCAAAAAGGACATGATCTTAGACAAAGGGTAAAAATAAAAGAGACTTTTTTTTGTAATTTTGCGAAATACGATGAAAGCATCAGTCAGTCAAACTGAAATACAATGGTGTGCAGTTTAAGTGCAATACTGTAAATAGCCAAAAAAGACAAAAAAACAAAAAACAGCTTGCATTAGATCTCGACGATAGAGACCTGATTTGTTTTGTTTTCTTCGGGTTGCTTTCCATGCACTGTTACAATGTTAAATTTCCTTGCCAAACAGAAGTTTTTTTGTTTTGTTTTTTTAACGACAATGTAAATTCTATCGATCCCAAATCCAGGTGCCATATCCCACCCTGTACTTAAGGAGATTTTGTAAACTTCAGAAAGACATGAGCACATTTTTCTAAGCTGCAGAAATCACAAAAAATCCCAACCTTTTCACCAACATGAGAGGTTTCTGTTCAACAGTGGACGCTATTCATGTAAGAATCAACCAAAAACCATTGTGATCCAAACTCTGCATGTTTAGTGTAACATTATGTTGTTGATTTAACAATCATTTAAAAAAAAAATCTTCCAGGCGACACATGGAATTTTAATTTTGACAAACCCATGATTATTTTGTTTGACATTTGTCAACGCTGCTGTCAAAGCTGCCGCGTCCATTTAAGATCCATTAAATCCCTGTTCGCAGACCTCCATTTAGAACTGTTTATCTATGTCTCCATTTTAAATTAAACATATGGGTGTTTATTTATTACTTTTTTTTTCTTTGTCTAAAGGTTTATGAAAGATGAAATAGATGAACTACAAGTGTACATTTTTACATGGCTACTTTGCATTTATTTTTCTATGTTTTTTTAAGTGTATTTGAATTAGGAGGTGTGGCTGTTAGTGCATCGTTTGCCGAAAACAAAAACTACAAAAAAAAAAAAATTGTAGCGTGTCCAAGTTTACAAACATTTCAGGGACAGTTAAATTGAATAATGCTCCATGGAATTTGTTGTATCCATTAAAAAGAAGAATTCATTTCATATGCAAGCATGCTCTAAACACAAATCATGGTACTGTTTGGTTTTTGTTTTTTTTCTTCCCAGTTGGATTTACAAATTATGAATGTACATCTTGTACAAGTAAACTATCAATAAAAGTTATAAATATTTGTACTGAAGTTCTAGCATACTTATTAGACAGCAGAAGAACCGATGAATCTGGCACGGCTAAAGGTGGAATATACAGAGATCTGATTTGATTGAACATGATCATCTCAGTCATTTGGAATGGGCCACTGCAGTGAGATCTCATTATAAACGGCCCAGTGCTTGTATATAAATGAAGTCAAACATAGTGGGTTGGGACAAAGCGTAGATAGAGTAATGTTTAAGTACATGGTTAATGCTTTATAAGAAAGTGACCTCAGCTTGTCCTGCAGTGATGAACTCTTACAGGTTCTTCATACGTATGTGTATTTCTTGTGAAAACTGTTTTGGCGGAAAATAAGGTTGGTTGACTACAAAAGATGAAGAAACCTAATGCTTAAGGTACAAAAACACCAAATTCCCCATGTACTCCTCTTTAAGGAGTAAGGGTACTGTAAAAACATTCGTTGTTCGATCTCCTGCCAGGATTTGGTTGTGTTCCATACAAATATCAGCTGAAACAGGGCACGGGACTTTGCAAATGACTTGGACGAAAAAGAAAGTAACTTGTAGCCACAGCCCAGAGATAATCCTCTTCCCTTATGTGTTCAATTCTTCTGCACCACTGCACATTAATGCTCTCTGTCTCCGTGCCTCACAACACGTCTCGGCTGATGCTCAGCAACTGTCTCAACCTGTGGATCAATACCAATATCTCTCCCAAAGTTTTGACATTCACACAGACCGTGTTAGCCAGCCAAGCTCATCATATTCAATATAAGTTGCACACCAGCAGAGAAAATTGAGCTGCTATAAAATCCAGATGCAGCGCCGAGCGCTGAGGCTCGTGCGGGGTTCGACTCTTTTCTGCCTGCGTGTGCGTCAAAATGACACAGATAGCATGGAGTGGGGCTGTAACGTCAAATCGAAGCAAGATGGTTGTAACCGGAGTCTGACGACTGAAAGCATAGAGGGAGAAAAAAGAGGGCAGGAGATTAGTAGGACACTGGATATGTAACATGTAGCCAGCTTCTGAGCTCAGAACTCAGGATCTCTTCTACTTGTTGCAGACGACACGGAGAGGTCAAAAGTTGCTGCGCGTTCCCCAGTGACACACATGGCAACCGTTGGCCACTCCTTCCACTTGTTCCAGCCACACACACAACATTTTTCACACTTACTAAAGTTAAACGCTCGGTCCCTTTCTCTCCATTTTTAAAGTCCGTCCCCTGGGCCCTTAATTCCAGATGTCTGTACACAAAGTCATTACAGCATGTGCTATAGTGGCCTATTGTCTGAAGCCTGTACAGGAATTAGCCCAAATGGCGTCCTGTTGAGTGCCGTACCCCCTCGAAGGTCGCTGCACTGTTTAATTTGTACCTCTGTGCTCATACATCAAGATTGAGTGATATAGTCGCAGACTGATGACTGCGTACTTACCCAGTGACCCCCGTGGCTGGGGCCGCCGGGCCAGGTCTGGAAATAACAGCATCCTTTTATGTGTTCTAATAATTAGCACAGGCACACACAGCCATCCATCAGGCACCAATGAGCCATGGCTGCTTTGTCAACATGTTCAAGCACATGAAGCTATTTGTGCTGGCAGCAGGTAACAAACATACAATAATATATTAATAGCAAGGAGAGAGCGAGTGTGTGTGTTTGTTTGTCTGCACGTGTGACATTAAGAGCTGTGTTTTTCTTACGGTGGATTGTGGGGCTAAATTTGGTGGGTGGCGAAAAAAAGGATAACATTGTAAAAATGAGTTCAGTGCAGTTTCACGGTAAAACTTATTTATTTGTGCTGCTTCTTGTCCTGACTGTTCCACAGTCAAATTCTTACTCATCATCGTTACACTGTTCACCGACTCCAGAGCGTTCCACCCACAGTAGATGGGCTTCATAGAATTAGTGACACACTTTTGAGTTCACTTTCGAAAACTATGCATTTTTTTTAAACTACCTTCGTTCTTTTTCTTTTTATAAAATGTATAACACTCATTAGTGTTTTTATTGATATTGCTCTAGGGATTATTTATTTTATTGACGTTTTGGTTTTTGTTGTGTTTTAAGTCGATTGAAAAGTTGTGTTAAAACTCTTTCTAAACGTGTGAAATTTCATTTAAATGATCATTTCCTTTAGTTAATCTTCAAACAAACATTTAGTATTGGTAGTAGTACCATTATGTATATAATGTGTTTTTTTTAAATAAATTTTTAAAAAACATCCCCCCCCGCCCCCACCTCACTAAGGTCTGTCTGTTTTCATCCAAGCTCAGGCATCAGAACATGTGAGACCCACAAGTCTGATGCGTGGTCCGTGGTGGTGTCCCGCACCATCAGTGGTCAAGGGCTCAGGGGTCACGTAAAGAGTTTTTATCACATTTCATCCTCATAATCCTCTTTGAAACGTCACACATTATATTGATCTGATGGAATGTGAGCTGCGGCAGGTTTAACATAAAGCTGCCGCTGGTATGAAATGACACAGATTACAGGCCTGAGAAGACAGTGAGGCTTTAGGCTCAAAGACACGAGGCGGGAGCTTTTTGTCATGCCGTATCAGCATTCCTCCAGGAGGAACTACTCCCAACAACTCCAGCGTCTGTTTGGTTTCACTGGGATACTTTTCCCTCCTTGTGATTTGACTCTCTGGTTCTGTTCCGGCATTTTCAGCTGAGGCTTGAAGTGAAGCCACCCAGAGAAACCTCAGCTGAAAACAATCGAAGTGAAGTGCTGAAGTCACTACGGTCGGCAGCGGATCAAAGGCCACCTTTCATCTCAGTTTGTTTGGTCTAGACCTAACTTTGCTTTTGTCGGCTAATGCTCATAAATGTATCTGGAGTCATCAACAGTGCAAAACTATATTAAAACTAACATTTTAAGTCTGGGTCAACAACGTCATTTTCTCTCTCTCTGGAGTGTCAAGTTGGAAAATTTAGAAAAAAATAAATAAAACAACAGAGCATTAGGTTCACATTCCGTTCAGCTATTCATGTTTCACTCATTAGCAGTTTATTTTCAGCTCCGTCTTTTAGCTTTTGTTCTAATCCAAGCAGAGTTATCTAGTAAAACACAACAATATTTTCTCTCTTGGTGCAGCGTAATGTCCCATCAATTTGGAATCATTACCACACTTATCAGCGCCATCAGCAAATAGTGGGAGTAAAGGAGAAAATAAATGAAATGTGGCTTGGAACAGAATTCAGGCTGTAGCTTAAACTGTCTGAGGTCATGTTTTGGTCGGGGCATTTTTTATTTTGTTTTTGTAAATTATCAAACATCACAATTGCTTATTGCAGAGGTGCGCGCACGCACACACACAA